AAAGGACGAAAATTGTAAATTGTTTATTAATTCTTTTAAAACATTAAATCCATTATTAACTTATTATTTATATTGGTTAAAAATCACAATACATTATCAATAAAACTGGTATCATCAATGTTAGAAAGTAACAAGATTTAAATTGTAAAACAAGAAATGGATCGTTTAAATGATTGCTTACAGTAATCACTTTGGTTTTTGTTTAAAAAAATTCCACCAAAATTCTGATAATTATTAAAATTTTGTTTCTTTATCAATCTATCTATGCATACATATTTTTTTTGTAAATAGAAAATAGAGTGTTAATTTAATATCAAATTATTTGGGAACAAAAATCTGAGCCAAAAAGAATCAAACTTAGGGCCAAATTGACAAAAATTTTGTAAAAACAAAAAATCAAAAAATTCACTTGTATATTTAATATTAATTAAAAAATTTGAATAATTAAGTAATTAATTAAATTCTTGCTCTTTTCCAAAAATTACCAAAATCTAACATTCATCTAAAAAATGTGTGCATCAATTTTTTCATTTTTCTTCCAGAAAATTTTTATTGATATATCTTTTGATAAATATTACTATGTTACTTATATATAAGTTATGATTTGGTCAATAAATTTGCATAAGAATTAAATGATTTTTATATTATCACAAAAGATATTGCTTTTTTAAATGAATTTAAAAAAAAAAAAACAAATTTGCTTGTTAAAATAATTACAAAAGATTAAATAATTGGATAATTAACTAAATTCTTGTTCTTTTCTAAAAATTACTAAAATCTATCAACCAGATTTCAATGATAATCGATAGATAAGAAGAGAAATGAACGATGTAAACAAAATTGTGCAAAAGTAATCAAACGTTAATCATTGAAGTTAGAATGGATAAAACTGAATGATTAAGCATATTAATCAAAGTATAACATTTAGTTTATCTAATTTAAAAAAAAGAAAAAAGGTAAATTAGTTTTTATCGCATCACTTTTTTCTAAAATTACCTCAGGGAATTTATTCCGAGAAAATTTACTCAAATATCTAAAAATATATTTTATAACAATCAAAGATATTCGCTATTGATATTATATTAAAGACAATATATTTTTATTTAAATACTTAATATATTTTACACCAAACAAACATATTACATTGAAATTACACATTTTCACTTAAATACTTAAAAATATATTTTATAACAGTCAAAGATATTCGCTATTGATATTGTATTAAAGGCAATATATTTTTATTTAAATACTCAAAAATATATTTTATAGCAATCAAACATATTACATTGAAATTACACATTTTCACTTAAATACTTAAAAATATATTTTATAACAGTCAAAGATATTCGCTATTGATATTATATTAAAGACAATATATTTTTATTTAAATACTTAATATATTTTATAGCAATCAAATATATTACGTTGAAATTATACATTTTCACTTAAATACTTAAAAATATATTTTGTAACAATCAATGATATTGTATTAAAGGTATAAATTTTCACTTAAATATTTGCAAATATATTTTGTAACAATTATAGATATTGTATTAAAGGTATGTATTTTTAATAAAATGAAATTGTAATGAAAATACATTTAATATATTTAACTTTGTTATTATTATTATTTTTTTTTGAAATAGATTTTGGAAAAATTTATATTTCTGATAGTTTTATTTGCCTTCAAAGATATCGCTTGATATTTAGAATCGATTCATTAGAAAAATTCGAAATTTAAATAATTGAAAATGATAATTGAAAGAATCAGATGTTTGTATTTGTTTATGAATTTAATTATTGTAAATTGTAGAAACTAGAAATCAATATTTTATCATTTAATATCATTTATACGTTCATACGAGGAATTACGAGGAATTAATTTCTAGTATGAATAATTTAATGAAAACAACAATTGGCATGTATTAATTAGCAAACACCTATTCAATCAATTAGCCTGTTGCAATGCTTTAAGCTGTGGTGCAAAAATGATGTTATGCATTGTCGTAATTAATTAGGAAAATTAACCAATCAATCAATTATGAGTAATTATTTTCGGATAAATAATTACTTTAAGATCCATAATGTTACCTTATGGAAATTATCTATTAGTTTAAAGCATATGAAAATTATAATTAATACCGGACTTGATAATTCAATGAACGGAATTTAAAAAAAAAAATTAAAATGCACATAGAAATAATTTGACGATTTGAAACTTTCAATTTTTGAGCCATTCAGTGTATATCAAAATTTCGTTGTTTTGGAAATATCAAAAAATTAAAATTGACCTATTAATTTATTAA